GAGCCAGTTCCCAAACCCCTGTCTTTCTAATGTAGCAGCCCCCAGCCCTGACCCTTAATCTATGATTCATTTCCACATTGAGACAGGACAGTGGGACCCTCCTAGGAACCCTATGGATCCTGGTGAAGAAAAAAAGAGGCAACTCAGTAGGGATCAAATCAGTATTCAAGCAGAGTGTTTGGGTATGAATAAAGTTGACTCTTAAGTTTGCTCTAAATATCAAAGTTTGAGGGAGAAATAGAAGGGCTGAATGGAAATTCTGATTTCCCTCATTGGGGTCATCATCACAGAATGCAAACTGTGATCCAGAAAGGTTCTAATTCAGGGGTTCTCAACCTGCGGGTCGTGACCCCTTCAGGGTCGCATGTTAGATCTCCTGCATATCAAATATTTACATTACAATTCGTAGCATCAAAATAATTTTATGGTTCAGGGTCAGCACAACATGAAGAACTGTATTAAAGGGTCACAGCATTAGAAAGGTTGACAACCATTGCCCTAATTGGAAAGGGCCTCTGGGGCCACCCGGTGTGGAATTTGCTGGAGCCCTCTAAAATGTCTCAGCTCATTTCCATGGAGAATTCACCGAAGAATTAAAAGACTCAGTAAAAGAGAGGTTGGGCTTGTTCATTGAAGTATGTAGCTTGTGAAATCCTTCATTTTCCTGTGACTAAAATTCTAGCTTGTAATTCCCAATGAGGAAGGCTCCAAGCTATTCATTAGCACACATTAAACCTGTCGTACCAGGTACGCAGGAAAAAGGCAAGAGTCCTTGTGTGCCAAGTGAGGGCTGGTCCCTCTATGGAAATGGCTCTTGACACCCTTCTGCAGTGCACACAGGCTTATCGATCTGTGGGAACAGTGCATGAGCCAGGCAAGTGTTCGAGGAGTGGCAGACACAGGGGCGAGCTGAAATATACAAGGTGTGTCCTGTCAACAAAGGACCCTTCCCAAGATCTGAGTCATCACAGTGAAGGAAAAGCAAGAAAGTGACAAGGCAGGCAGGTGCAGCTTTAGCAGAAAGAACGAGAGTGTTTTGAGTAGGGAAGGAATAGGTTTCATGTCTAGCCTTAAAATCGGGATTAAAACACACTTAAGAAACACCCCGATACTAGGTAAGGTATTAACTAGATTATTTTTGGCATATCAGTTACACAGCCTGTATAATGCCTCGGTTGCTAGGAGCTGAGGCGAGCCCAGGCAGGAAAGCAGCTGCTGGTGTCAAGCTACATATTAGAGCCTCGGAATGACCCCGTGTATTTCCATGCCCCTTCCTTGGACTTTGGGGTAAATTCTATCTTCTACATTGGACAATGCTCAGTCATTCCCTGCGACTCCAGCTGATGTGTCACTAAGGTACCAAGGGCAGCAGGAGCACCTACCGGGTTATTGCTGGTCTTTCCTGCCAGGATGACCCGGGCCTTGACCTTATTCATGTTGAAGTTCTTCAGGTAGGCCTCGTGGATTCTCTTGGCCAGAGATTTGAGGTCGGCAGTTTCCGAATCTTCCAGATCGTGTTCACACGTGAGAATCTCTGCTTTCAGTTTTGCTTTCTCAGATCTTGGCATGCGTCCAAAACGAATCGCTGGAGTCGGGGTGGGGATGGGACAAGGGGAGAGGTAGAACTGATCAAGACTCTTGATGACCAAGGCCAAGGTGAAAGGCAGAATGGGAAGCTCACACCAAGAATGGCGAGTTAAACCCATTCCTTATTATGACTGAACTTTCTGCTAGGCAGACTGAAAAACAACCATACAGCTTAACAGTGGGGTGTCTTACTGTCCTCAGGTAGGCAGGCCATTGGCCAAGGTGAAGGGGATGAAAGTGAACTATTACCTACCTACCATCTATCATCTGACTATCAATCATCTGTTCAATTATACATCATCTATCAATCATCTGCCTATTAATAATCTATCTATATAACTATCTATGTACTTGTCTATCATCTATCATCTATCTACCAATCTATCCTCTTTTATCTATCTGTCTGTCTGTCTGTCTGTCTATCTGTCTATCTATCTATCCTCTTTTCTCTCTCTCTCTATCTATCTATTCATCCATCTATCTATCTCTATATTCTTTCTGAGACAGGGTCTCATATAGTTCCTCATGCTGGCCTCCAATTAACTATATAACTGACAGTGATCTTGAATTCCTGAGATTCTTGCCTCCACCCCTCAAGTGCTCAGATTATAAGCCATGTCTACATGGTCCTGGGAATCCAGTGCCTCATGCATGCCAAAGCACTCTACCAGCTGAGGTACATCTCCAGCTCTACTTTGTAGTTTTTGAGACAGGGCTTTTCTATATAGCCCATGCTGGCCATGAAGTTACAAAACTCTTCTTGCCTCAGCCTTCTGAGTGCTGGAATTATAGGCATGTACCACTATGTCTGTGATCTCAGTACTCCTTGGAGGCAGAGGCAGGTGGATCTCTGTGAGTTCAAGACAAGCCTGCTTTATACAGAGATTTCCATACCAGTCAAGGCTGGGTAGTGAGACGCCCCCCACCTCAAAAATAAATAAATAGATAGATTGGTTTACATCCACTGGGAACCATTCTAAATTAGATTACAGTACAATGTTTGAGCCAACACACATTTAACAGAAGTGATGTGACATCTTGCCACTCCAGTGACCCCCCAAGTTGACAGGAAAGTCTTACCACAATATTTTCAAGTGCTCTGCCAAATACCAGCTGCTGTAGATATTTACATGTTACAGCACACCCCTTCAAAATATAGCCATTCTTAGCAGGGGGATAAACGTAGGCTCTGACTGACACAGTGTACCCAGCAGCCTTACCTACCATTGTGTGACATCCCAACAGACAGGCATTTGTGGAAGCGGCAGTATTGGCATTTATTCCTGTTCTTTTTCTGAATCTTACAGCTTCGATCACATTTGTCATACGCCAGCTTTAGCCGAATAGTTCGCCGAAAGAAACCCTGTGCCATCAATACAAAATTTACTTAAAGATCGTGGACTCTGGGTAAGTCACCCAACTGGTGTCCCTGAGCTTTCTTGTGCATTTGATTGGTTTGTTTTGAGACAGGATCTCACGTAGCGCAGCCTGCTAAGGAGCTTGCTCTGTGGCCAAGGACAACCTTGAACTGTTGGTCTTTCTGCTTCCACCTCCCAAGTGCTGGGACCGCATGGATGAGCACCGTCATGCCTGGCTTTATGGGGTGCTGGGGATCCAACCCAGTGTCCGGTGCATGCTAGGCAAGTATTCTGCCAGCTGAGCTACACCCTAGCCTCACTGTCTCTTTCCAAAGAAACTACGCATTGAAGCTTTAGAAAGTCTTGTGTCACTGGGGCAAATAGAAAATGGGAATCTCACTGCATTAGAAATGGAAAATCATGTGCTAAGGCAGAGTTCAAAGAGATCTTAGAAAGACCCTACCTGACGGGGGAAGAGGGAATGGTAGTTTCTTGGGTCACAAAACCAACTCCCAAAGAGCAGACATTATAGCAAGAGAGAACCAGCTATATAAGGGCAGCACTCTTGCTTCATAGCAACATCGAGGCTTTGCCCATAAAGAAAACATCTTGGACCCATAAAAGCCAAGACTAAACAAATGGGACTGGACATGACCTTGACAGAAAGCTCTGTTGCAAGTCAAGCTTTTAAAGGGATGCAGATGCAAGACTCAGGAAGGGATTTCCTTTGGCTTTTGGTCCTTTGCTTTTGAGCAACCCCTCCATTTGTTGCCTGACACTGTGGACTTTCGTGACCATGCAGAAGGGACCAGGCCTTCATTGGAGATCAAAGGATTGGAAGGGGTCAGCTCCTCATCTGGGCATGTGAGGCAGAATGGCAGAAGGATGGAAAGGAAGGGTGAGAAGCAAGGACTGTGACTGCCAGGGACCAGCAGACCCTGGACCTGGGTTCACTGTTCCCAGGCACCAGATCTTTAAGACCAGGTCCACCTGAAGACAGGTGCCAGTGCTTCAAGAATGATGTACAGGAAGGTCTGCGATATTCCCTCAGAGCCTGGATACTTCCAGAAGGTACTAGGAATGGAGCCTTTGGATTTTAAGCAAATGTGCATCTCTCCATTTTCCATATATGGTATCTATTAAGTGATAAACTTGAGAATGTACATGCAGCAGGAGGAGATTCGCTTCAGGTATGTGAGGCCTGAGTCATGCCTGTCTAGAGGTCTAGTTGACTCTCAAGAAGATAGAGATACTCAGGAGGGTGCGGTGGCTAGAAGGACAGGAGTGTGTGACAGAAGCCACCAGTGGGAGTAAATTACAATAGCAGGGGAGCTAGAGACTGTGGCCTCTGAGCAAGGGGCAGGGGCCATCTGACAGACAGCCCCTTGCTCAATGCCCTAGCTGGCCTCTGGAGAGGTCCTGAGGTAGCAGGTAAACACACTCCCCTGCATGGTCACCTCTGCTCTATGTGGCTTCTGGGGTGGTCCCGAGGTGAAGTATGTAGTCTACACTTTGTGTCACAGGGAGAGTCATTTATATAGCAACTGTGTTTGTTTCAAAGGATGCACTCCTCTGGAGTATTTACAAAGTACAGCAAAGCAACCTGCCCTCGATTCTCAAAGGAGGTCAGTTCTCTGCCTTCAGGAGGCCTCAGAGTGGTGGACATCTTGCGCAGGAGAAAAGTCATTGAGCCACGTGGCCACCTCGCCCTCCACCCAGGACCCCTGTACCTTGCAACCTTCACATGCATGGACTCCGTAGTGGTAGCCTGAGGCCTTGTCCCCACATATTCGACACTCAATGTTCAGCGCACTGCCAGGGGACTCGTCTGTGCTGGCGGGGATCACGGGGCAGCTGACTGATGAGGGGCTGGACGCTGGAGACAGAGTGTCTACAAGGAAGAGCACAGCACATGAAACTTGAGGTGCTACCACCTGTATCAGGACCAGAGCCCTGGGAAGGTGACTTGGCATAGTAGGGGGACCTGGGCTGTGGGCAGGTGCCCCTCTTGAATGAGCTCTGCCCTGGCTACACTCTGCCCACAGTTACCATGGTGCCACCATTCTTGAAGCTCATGCGCACTAGCCTGCCTCCTAACTTGTACCCTCCCTCCAGCTCTTCGGAGGCCATGTTATGAGACCTCCACGTGAGCCCTCGCCTCCCATGCCACATGCTCAGTATAGAGCTGGCTTTGTTGTCAGTGTTATTCAGTGGCACCAGAATACGGCCTGATGATCCATACGGGTCAGGTGGTGACACATGTTTCTCACCCTAAAATTCAGAAGCAAAGGCAAGAGGATTTTGAGTCCAACGCCAGCTTGGGCCACACAGTGAAACAGAGACAGAAGAGGGAAGAGAAATGTGGAGAGGAGGGGAAGTGAAAGAGAACCGCGTGAGCTGAGACGGGGAAAAGAAGGGCGCTGAGAATAAGGCAGAGAAAGAGAAAGAGCAGAGCAATGAAAAGACAAATCAGAACCTAGGAAAATACTCCCGAAGACCCACTCCATCAAAGTCTTGCATTCAAACGATACAAAGAAGTCCTAAGACTGAACAATAGAAAACAACACATAGAAAAAGCATCAACACACCTGAACGAACACTTCACCCGGAAGGACAGACAGAAGGGGTGTGAACTTATGGAAACAGGCCCAGTATCACTGCCATTAGCGGACTGTGAGTTAAAACCATGGTGACTATCACTGCACACCCATTAAGCTAACTTCTTCAAAACGGCAGGGTTGTGGCGTGACCACTGTCACCCATGTCCAGTGCACATGGAGAAAGAAAGGGACAGTCACTTTTTAAAGCAAAATGGTTGTAGGTGACAAAAATCGCCTCTCTGGTTACTTACCCAACTGACTTGGGAACAGGTCCACACAAAAACCATGTATGTATGATGTGTACTCATGTATGTATTGAGTGTCAGCCATCACCTTCTGCCTTGTTTGCGACAGGGCCTCTTTTCTGTTGTTCACCTCTTTGTACACCAGTGTAGCTGGCTTGTGTACTTCTGGGGAAAGCCCTTGTCTCTGTCCACCTTTTCCCCATGTAGTACTAGGACTGTGGACCCAGGCTATTGCATTTGGTTTCTTTTGTTTCAAACACACGTTTTTAGGTTTTGAACTCAGATCCTCATGCTTATATGGCAAGCACTTTTACCTACAGAACCATCTCCCAGTTCCAGGAGCTTCGGACTTAATTGCCAAGTCGCCAAGAATAATGTGTGAGAGTTTGAGGCCAGACTGAACTATACAGTGAGTTCCAGGCCAGCCTGAGCTACAGGTAAGACCCGAGGACATACATTCCTGTTGTCACCCTGCACAGTGGATGCTCCCAACTGTGTGGGGCATCAGGCGCAGTACTCAGAGGGTACTTACTGCTTTGGCAGAGAGGAAATCACTTGTCAGAGTAGAAGCTATATGGTTCCATCTAACAAAGCTAGAAACAAGACCCGAAAGGATCAAACATTTCACAGTCACTTAACTGCATCTCTGTACAAAGCCTGAGCATGCTTAGTGGAATGCAAACTCTACCACACAACAGAGCTCGCAGTGTGTGCTACTCAATTAAAAAATTACAAGGCATACAAGCAGAAATCTTGGCTCATGATGAGAAGAGAAATGAATGAAAGAAACCAAGAAGTGACAGAGATGATAGAATTTGCAGCCAAGGCATTAAAAAGTTATTCTTACCATATCCTAAAAAGCAAGATAGAAGACTGGAAATGAGGGTGTAACAAGTGCTGGCTATGAAAACTACAATATCTAGTGTGCACAATAAATCAGCTAGATTAAGCACTGCCAAAGAAAAGGTTGGCAAATTGGAAAACACAGCAATGGAAACTATCCACAGTAAAACACACACTCACACACACACACACACACACACACACACACACACACACACACACACCTGACCAGGTGATTCTAAATCACATACAAAGTGCAAAGACCTAGGCTATCCCAAGGAATATAACCAGAGAACTTATCTGGGGGACACCAGGGCTATTGCACACGGATCTGCTGTGGACAGTTGCTGTTCAGACATCTGCATTTTTCTCTCGGGTAAATATGTAGGAGTGGAAGGAAGGGCTGGAGCATGAAGCAGATGTTTGTGTGAGTTTTCCGCAAATGCCATCACCATGGGATTGGTACTCAATGACAGAAACAGATGGAGCTGAGCGAAAGCCTAGATAGAGACCTCCAGTGTCCACTGATTTTAGAGACACAAAGACAATGGGGGTGGTCTTGTCAGTGAGCTGTGCCTGGACAACCACAAATGAAAGAGAGAGGGAGAAGGAAACATTGATTTGTATGCAAAAACTAGATCAAAGAATACTGGGCTTCAATGTAAAATGTACAACTTCTCAAAGACATTCAAGCAAAGGTCTCTTAAACATGACACAAAAAGCATGGTCTACCAAAGAAAGGGCACTAATAAGCTGGACTTCGTCAATTAGGAACTGGCTTTTATTGAATGACACTGCTAATGAAAAAGACAAACTACAGACGGGGAGGGAGCATTTGTAGACCATGTATCTGATGAAGTCCTTGTATCCACAACACATACAGAAGTTTCTATCATCAGTGGTAAGAAAACACACAACCCAAGTAAAAAGTGGGTAAATGATTTCAACAGAAGCTTAACCAAAAAACAAAAACAAACAAACAAAAAAAGTTATAAGGCAAATTATCACACAAAAAGATTCAGCATCAGAGACGTGCAAACTAAAATTACCCCACAGAGCACCATGGTTCACCCACAAGAATGGCTACGGTGTCAAAGACTGGTCATACCTTCAGTGGGTGAGCTTGTGAGGAGCTGAACACCCACACTGAAGGTGGGGACAGCACTTTGGAAAGGGGTTTGGCATTTCCTGAAAACTCACACAAGCACCTGCCCCCCACTAGCCCACTGCTAGATGTCTGGACAAAGCCTTGCATGTAACTATTCATAGTGGTTCTATACGTGAAAGCTGGGAAGTGTCCACATCTCCAGTGTTCACCAGGATGGGAGCAGAAACAATGGTATGTCAGGCAGTGCACAGCATTGGGGAAGTTCAGATACACCACCATGCAGGGGCATCAGAAACGGATCCCAAGGAGCGTAGAAGCCTGTCTAGAAAGAACCAGGCCGTTTGGAGAAAGTTCCAGGAAACACAAACAAGCCTACAATGTTAGAAAGCATATCATGTGGTAAGGAGGAAGGCGTCGCAGGGGCACACGCTGACTTTGACGGATGTGGTCATTATTTTGATTGTAATGATGATGGCTTCAGAGAGAGAGAGACAGACAAGAGACAGATATATTTTTTCTTTAAAGTCTTATATTCTCTGAGGAAAATACACATCTAGGAAGATCTTTCTAGAAAGCAGCACTTACCTGTGATGACAGAGCCCTCGGAGCCTGGACAGCTTCCTAAGTACTGGTAGTCCGTGAAACTAAAGCTTCCGGAACTTTCCTCCTCAAGGGACTGAGAAATATCTTGAATGTTTCCCATTTCTTGTAAGAATTCTTCCGATAAGGGACTCTCCAGGTCATCCGCCTCAAGTGGGGAGAGGGGACAGATGGGACTCTCTGTGTCCACCATGTTGACTGGAAGTGGCCACGCAGGCCACAGAGCGCCAATCTGTGGGACGAAAATGGCCAGAAGAGCGTTCACTTCCTGCTCTGAAATGAAAACACTACTTATCCTAAGTTCAAGTCTCAAAAGTGGCAGCATTGACTCTCCACTCCTGACTTTTGGAAGCACAGTAGTAAAATTCTCTAAACAGGGTATGGGAAGATGGCTTGGCGGTTGTTGCTTTTGCAGGGGTTCAATTCCCACCACCCACATGCAGCTCACAACCATCTGCAAACTCTGGTTCTAGGGACCTCTGACATCGGGCACGTGTTTGGTGCACATATATAGATCCAGGCTAAATTCTCCAATAAACATGTACGTCAACAACAAACACAGAAGGAGCCGATTGCATGTGAGTTCAGCTTCCCAGCAGTGGACAAAAACACAGCCCATGTCCCTGGAACACGCCTTCCAATGGGGACACGGGTGGGAGCCAACCGAACGGGGTGTCTGGTGGGGGTACGAGGACTCAGCAAGAGCAGATGGAGAACAGATGCCTCACATGGGGGAGCCCCAGAAGGACAGGCTGCTCTGGAGAAGAATGTTCCAGCAAAAAGAACAGCACGTGCTGGCACACGTCAGCACGTTCTAAGGTCGGCAGGGAAGCCATGGGGCTTGGCTGAGGCGCCCCAGGAGGGAAGGCAGGAGCAGTCAGCAGGAGTGTTGTGTGGTATTCATTCTCTGGTTTTCTTCTGTGCACACGTGACCAGAGACAGTATTAGGAAAGTTACATAGTTACAAGTGCTTTGTGGAGTTTTAAAAATATCTACAGTAGGTAAGTCCCGAGCAGCACCAAACTCCACTTTCCCCACAAGCAAAAACCAGTGTTCACATGGGAAAGTACACTTTCTCCATAATCTTAAATGACTTCCTATGATCTCCAGGTCAAAGTCCAATCCCTCAGTACGTCAGTCCAGCCCATGGGAATATAGCACGCTAGGCCTCTTTCACCTGGGCAGCTTTTCCTGGGCTGTCCCCCTGCTGCCTTCAGTAGGCCCTGCCAGCCCACCTCCCAGAGCCCGACAGACGGGGTCACCAAGCACCCAGCTGGACTGACCAGATGACATTTAGCTTCCTGAACTCTTTTCCCATCTAGAAGTAGTCGCAGAGAAAGCCACAGCTCACATCACAGAGGAAGCCAGAGACGCTGTTTGCTAGCTGGGCCATGGGTTCCACACGGAGAAGCCCCTGTCACACGGTGGCCATGTCAGTATCTTCTAAAGAACACGTCCCAGAGCACTGAATGAACACACGTGCACTAAAATTGCCACAGTTTTTCCTTTGCCAAAGGTCAACAAACTTTCCAAGTGCAACGAGGAAGGGGTGTTCTGGCTTCCTGGAGAAATGAACAAGGGCTGTGACTACATGTTTTTGTGAACAATTCACATCTCAGGCTTGGAATCCTGACAGGCTATCATAGGTGATCACTACAGACAGGGAGAAATGGTAAAGAATGATCATCGGTCTGGGAGATAGCTTGGCTGGTAAACCACTGCCTGTGTGGGGGTGAGGCCCTTGGCTCGTTCCTCATCACTGACACACGAAGCCTGGCAGTGTGCACCTACAATCCCAGCACTTAAGAGGCCAGCTAATGCTAGCTGAATCCAACCTCCGTGAGACTCCCTCTCAAAAGATAGGGTGGAGAACAATGTCAGGAAGACAACTGATATTGACTTATACACACACACCACACACACCATACACATATCATACACACACATACATACCAATACACACACATCACACACACCATATACATACATACCACACACACCATACATATATCATACACACACCACACACACACATACACCATACACATATCATACACACACACATACACACCATATATACATACACACCACGTACACATACCACATATGATACACACACCATATACATACACATACCACATACACACACACCACACACACCACATACATGCACCATACACACATCATACATACACACACACCACACACACACACACACCCCACACACCACATCAAACAAACATCATACACACACACACACACACACACACCCCACACACCCCTTTGTAGGATAAAGACAGCCTTCTATTTCCTGTTTGTGTATGCTATGCCGCAAATCTATGCCCACTTTTTTATTTGGAGGGGCAGTGCTGCGGATGGAACCCAGGGCCTTGTGCACACTCCACCACCACTGAGCTGTCAATCAACACACTTTCTTCTGCACTGCATTGAAAGGACTAGATAGCGGAAGAAGTTATTTTTCCCCATGAACAAAAAGTTCAAAAGCCGCAATCATGAGATCACACATAAAGTTCATCCCCATAAAAAGGTCAGAGTGGGACAAAGTCTGTGCTAAGGAAGAACGGTGTTTTCTCCTTTTTCTGTCCCTGCCATCAACAGCAGGGACAAACCAGGAGCATTGGGCTAAGGCCACGAGCTGGTTTCCTTGTCATGACCTTCAGGGAGCGCCAGTGTTTGGGGATCATGTCATTTGTCTCTTCGGTTGCTTTTGAAGGGTAACTGGCTTTACCTAGAGAAACATTGGTCTTGCCGTTCATGAGACAGATGGGATAATACCTCCTCACGAGCAGGGAGATCCTGATGTGAACTCTGGCCGCTGGGCCTGGCACCACACAGAACACATCGGTTCTTCTTGATTCCAACCAGGGCAGATAAGAGCCTTTCCCTTTCAATGAGTCCCCCAGATAGATAACAGAGGTCACATGGGCACACCCCAACATGCTCACCCCGAGGTTCCCGGCATGCCCTGGCATCACTGTAGACTGTTAGGAGAAAAAACATCCGGGGCAGTCCTACCACTGTGTCCCACACCCACAGTTCACTGCCATTGACGGTTCACTGAGAAGAGCAGCCGGGCCAGCCAGTGACTGTGCCCTGTGCCCCAGACGTCCCAGAAGAATGAGAAACAATCACCCCACCTCAACAGTGCCCACATGGCTCAGGGCTAGTAATTGAATTAAATGACAAAAATATTCCACTGACATTAGGAGGTTGACTATTTGAAAACTCTAGAACATTCAATAAAAAGGAAATGAAAGAGATATCCAGTTTCATGTTGGGACAGGACAAAGCACATGAGAATTTGGGTATTGCCCACTGACACACTTTTGATGCCAAAGTATCTTGCATATTGCCACTCTAGGATGTTTAGGCTAACACAGCCTGCTAATCACACAATGAGCACTTCCTGTGTGAAGCCTCTGAGGTCCGCCACACCAGGGCCCTAATTCTAATATGCCCTGTTTACATGTGGTTGTGTAATTAACTTCTCATGTCTGTCTCTCCTACTAGATTGTATGTCTTGATAAAGCAAGGGGTATATTTGCCTGATTTTTGCATGCTTCCATCCAAAGCAATCTCTCCCATGGAGCAGGTGCTCAAAAACCATTTCTATCACTTGGCACAGAACACTGCTGTTACCTGTGCCAGGTGGGGCTCTGTGAGACGAACAGCTACTACAGGTGTCACTCAGAAAGTGCACGCAACATCCAAAGACATCATCTGTGCAGCAAACATGGAGAACAGAAGCCAAGGGGAATTCTGCACTGGATATGTGACAAGCAGTTTTCAGAGTGAAGTATAATTACAGGGACTGAAAACATTTACGAGAAGGGAAAATGAAAAGAGAAATCTCAGCAGAATAATGTGCAGAGAGGTTCCCAGTCATAAAGCAAGAGCTGTGGGGAACAGGGATGCGGAGCATTAACCCTTCAGGTGAAAGCAAAGGACTTGGCCAGGCTGGTTCAGCAATCTGGCTTTGGGGTGATAAACAGCACCCAGCAGACAGTGAACGTGAAGAGGCAAAGGAGTGGGAGCCTAGCCATTCTGATTTTCCCCTTGGAACCACAAATGGCGAACTCTGGATATGTTCTGTGACAAAGTGTGCCAAGGGAGAGTCCAGAAGTTCACTCACCAGCAAAGGAGCCGGGTGTGGTGAAGCACACCTTTAATCTCACAGCTCGGAAGGCAGAGGCAGGTGGATCTCTGTGGGTTTGAAGCCAGCCTGGTCTACATAGTGAGTTCCAGGACAGCCAGAGTTGCATGGTGAGACACTGTCTCAAAACAAGCAAACAAACACAAAAAATAAAACAAACCTTCTCAAACTAGCAAAGTGACATTCACATGGAATCCTGACTACTTGGAAGGCTGAGACAGGAGGATTGTGAGTTCCAGGCCACATAGAAAGACCCTGTGAAGGAAGGAAGGGGAAAAGGAAGGAGAGAGGGATGAAGGAGGAAGAGAATGAAATGATTTCATCCTTTGGATGGAATAAAAGGCTGGGACTAGGATGCGGATCAGTGTGGCCTAGCTTGGCACAACATCCCAGAACTATACAAAGAAAGAAAGAAAAGAACATCATAAGAAAAGAGACCATAGGAAAATCACTCTGGGCTTCCAGGGGCACCCGCTGCCCCTGACTCATCATCAAACCTATGTATTATTAGCAGAGGCTTCTTGGACTGACAAGTCACTTCCTAAATAGCTTCTAGAATTGCTAATTAAACAGCAGGGAGCAAGACACTGTCTCAGCTACTGAAACAGTTTGATGCCCTCTATGAACAAACGAACCTGGATCGTAACATTTGTCACAAAAGCATCCAGACAGCCACAGACTCTGGCTTCCCCACTACTCCTTCTCTGTTTGTTCCCTAGTTTACTGTATCATAGGACACCCTCAGCTCATTGCCTCCCTGTGCTCAACACTACAAACCTAGAGAAACCGGTTTAACCCTTCCCCTCCTAGAGGAAGCACGGTTAGGCTGAAGGGAGTGGTTGAAAGGCCAAAGAGGAAGTCTTATCAGAGGACCATTGATGCCTCAGGCAGCTCCCAGGTGGAGTTTTTTCCTCACCACGTCTAGTCCACAAGCTAGTCATACTCTGTGGATTCCTTTTACATAATATAGGCATATTTACAAGTCTTTGGGTTCAGTTTGCTGAGCAAAGGCCTTTAAATAACATTTCAGAATAAACAAACAAAAGGCCACAGAAGCC